CATAAACTTGAAGTAAAATAGAGGATAAATGGTTGGACTTGTGGAAAGGAAGGTTTCCACAATCAACCCACATACCTCAACTTTGGAGAATCCTTGATGAAGATTGGAATGGAGAATTGAAGCTTGAGATTGAGTCTTGAATCCGGAATTAGAGCTTGAGATCTTTGAATTTGGTTGAAGATCTTGGTGAAATTTTGAAGAGGGCTTAGAGAGTGTTTTTGAGTGTTTTGAAGCTAGAAAGAAATATAACTAAGTATGGGACATATCCTTTTTTTATAAAAGAAAAACGTCCCCAGCCCGCTACAGTAACTTAGCTCTCTGGAAATTGCAATTCTGCCCGGACAGGTTTTACGAAAATGATCATCACTCCTTCATCCTAACTCGGAATGAGGTGAAACCAATTGCATTGGAAAGCTAACTCAAAGGGCTTTAATTTAATAGGTGGTGTCCCTTCCAGTTCCTTGTGTGCTAAGAGATATGCCCCTTTAAAGTTGACCCTCCAAATCGCATTTTTTGCGATTTTCGAATTTTGATACGGTTGCTCTAAAATTCGGGTTAGACCCATTTCCCACTCAATTTGACCCCCTGAATAAGAATATGAAGTCGAATTTCCGAAATCATGCACGGATTTTGAGATATATGGAAATTACAATTATAGGTGTTTCCGAAGCACATTTTCGGACATTTTTGGGGTCGTTTCACTACCCATGGATGAAAACCACCTTACCTCAATCACAAAGCCCTAGCCCTATGAATTTGATGTGAATATCCTTTCTTCTTGAACCCTAGCTCTCACTTTCTTCTTCTCCTTCTTTAAGTTTTCTAGAGAGAAAACTTTGTGGAGAGGATGAAGTTTTGGGAATTGATTTGAGTTTTATGAATAATGAGTTGAATGTCTTAATTAAGGGGTTTTAAATCCTTATATAGGTGGTCCAAATTAGTCTAAAACGACATCACTTAATATTAATTAAAAACAAAAAACCCTAAAGTGCCCCTAAACTTAACCACCAAACTAGCTCACAGGTCACCATCCACGAGACCTCACTGACGGACCATGGTTGGACCCACGACTCGTGATGGTGAACCGTGGTTTGGGTTCTAAGAGTCTAATTTTAGGGATTGGACCTACAGCTCCACCCACGGGGCGTGGACCCACCCACGAGGTGTGGGTCCTTCCATGGTTCAATGTTTTTGGTCAGTTTCCAAGGGTCCTTCTCAAGGACCCATGGTTGGTCCTTGGGGGGTAATACCTTGATGTTCTAACAAGAAAACCTCTACTTTAAGTATGGGGAGTTACATTCACGACTCTAACCCTCAAGTTAATCTCTAGTTTAGCCTACTAGTTTCCGGAGTGTTACAATATCTCCCCCTTGGGAACATTCGTCCTCGAATGATGATCTAGACATCTTACGGAAGTAAAGACTCAAGACTAGCAGCCCATCATGCATGCAACATCAAAATTTCAACATTTCTCATGTTCTTAAACAAAAATTCAATGCATCACAAGAAAGTAGGAACTACATCTAACAACCCATTATACATGAAATTTCAATATTTCTCATGTTCTTAGAAGGAACTACCTTTTCCAAGCTCTAAAGCATGCTCAACATAATCTCATGAAACCATTAGGCCATTTACTCAAGAAAAGCATATACATATAAAAACATGTTCATCAATTCATCTCATGAAGTCAAATAGGCAACTCATACTCAATGCACAACAGCATGAGGAAAATCAATCATAAAAAAAACTCATTTTCTTAGTAAACATGAATTTCTCAAGAACATGCATAACATAAGGAAATCATTGAAACACATAAATCACCCATGACTCCTAAACAAGAAAACTCAAGGGGAACTCATTACCACAAGTCGGAATAGGAGAAGAAGGAAAAATATGAGGATATCGGGAATTCATGTCGGCCTCGGCCTCGGCCTCCCAATTAGCACCCTCAACTAAGTGATTCCTCCACAATACCTTCACGAAGGCAACTTCCTTATTTCTCAACCTCTTGACTTGCCAGTCTAGGATCTCAACCGGTACCTCTTCATAAGCAAGATTCTCCTTAATCTCTAAACCCTCTAAGGGAACTATGGTTGATGGATCCCAATACATTTCTTCAACATTGAGACATGGAACACCGGATGCACCAACGTCAACTCATTTTGGCAAATCTAACTCATATGCAACCTTGCCTACACGCCTCAAAATCTTATAAGGACCCACAAACTGAGGACTAAGTTTCCCTTTCTTCCCAAACCTCATAACACCCTTCATGGGTGAGATCTTCAATTAAACCCAATCATGCACATCGAATTCGAGATCTCTCCGTCTAACATCGGCATAGGACTTTTGTCGACTTTGGGTCATCCTCAACCTCTCTCTAATAACCTGAATCTTCTCAATGGCCTCATGCACCAATTCCTGACCTAGGAGAGCAACTTCTCATACTTCAAACCATCTTATATGAGACCTACATCTCCTACCATACAGAGCCTCAAAGGAAGCCATGTCGATACTCGAATGATAACTGTTATTATAACCAAACTCAACTAACGGCATATAGTCATCCTAACTGCCTTTAAAATCTATCACGCATGCCCTCAACATGTCCTCCAAAGTATGAATGGTGCATTCTGCTTGACCATCTATTTGAGGGTGAAAAGTTGTGCTAAGCTTCACTTTGGTACCTAGCCCCTTTTGGAAAGACTTCCAAAACTGTGAAGTAAATTGGGTACCTCGATCCGAAATTATAGACAAGGGTACTCCATGTAACCTTACTATATCCCTCAAGTACAAATTAGCATACTCTTCCGCCGAGTACGACACCTTGACGGGAATGAAATGAGCGGACTTAGTCATCCAGTCCACTATTACCCATATCGAGTCATGTTGCCGCCGAGTACGTGGCAAGCCTACAATAAAATCCCTATTCACATCTTCCCATTTCCAAGTAGGAATAACAATATCTTGCGACAAGCCTCCCGTACTTTGGTTCTCAACCTTCACTTGTTGACAATTAGGACATTTGGCCACAAATCCCGCAATATCTTTCTTCATCCTATTCTACCAATAGACTTTCCGTAGGTCACGATACATCTTGGTGTCTCCCGGTGAATAAAATATCGAGAACTATGGGCTTTTTCTAAAATTTGCTCCCTTAAGCCGTCAACATTTGGAACACATAACCTACCTTGATACCTTAGTACCCCATCTCCCCCTTGGGAGAAAGCCTCAACTGACTTTTTAAGTACTGCCTCTTTCAACTCAACCAAGATAGGATCAAGACTTTGTTTAGACTTCACATCCATCACAAAGGATGATTCGGAACCATGATTGACCATGACACAACTCTTGGTGGAATCCACTAGCTGAACACCTAGTCGGGTCAACCTATGACCATCACAAACCAGCTTTTTCTTTTCATGTTCTACATGAGCCACACTACCCATCGACAATCAGCTAAGAGCATCTGCTACCACATTAGCTTTACCGAGGTGATAAAGAGCACTCATGTCATAATCCTTCAATACTCAAGCCACCTTCTTTGGCAAAGATTCAAGTCCTTTTGCTAAACACATATTGTAGACTCTTATGATCGGTGAAAACATCCACATGGACCACATACAAATGATGCATCCATATCTTTAAGGCAAATACAACTGCCGCTAATTCAAGATCATGGGTAGGATAATTCTTTTCATGGACTTTAATTTTCCTTGAAACATAGGCAATCACCTTACCATTTTGCATAAGCACACATCCCAACCCAACTCTAGAGGCATCACAATAAACCACAAAACCATACATACCTTCTGGTAAGGTCAACACCAGAGCGAAAGTAAGTCTATCTTTCAACTATTGAAACTTTTCTCACAAGGTTCCGACCACACAAACTTAGCCTTCTTTTGAGTCAAAGTCGTTAAAGGAGAAGAAATTGAAGAAAATCCCTCAACAAGCCTTCTATAGTAACCGGCCAAACCCAAAAAGCTTCTAATGTCAGAAGGAGTTAGAGGTCTAGGCTAACTCTTGACCGCTTCCATCTTCTTCGTATCTACCTCAATACCCTCTCTACACACAATATGACCACGGAAGGCTACAAACCTCAACCAAAATTCGCACATGATAAACTTTGCAAAAATCTGTTGGTCCTTAAGAACTTGCAACACAATTCTCAAATGGTCAACATGCTCATTTTAACTCCTTGAATAGATCAAATTTTCATCGATAAACACAATCACAAACATGTCTAGGAATTGCCTAAACACTCTATTCATCAAGTCCATAAATGTCGTTGGAGCATTTGTCAACCCAAACGACATCGCTAGGAATTCATAATGACCATACCAAGTTTGGAAAGCCATCTTCGGAATATCATCACCTCTCACCCTCAATTGGTGATAACTCGAACGAAGATCAATCTTAGAGAAATAACTAGCCCCTTGAAGTTGGTCAAACAAGTCATCAATTATCAGAAGAGGATACTTATTCTTGATGGTCACTTTATTCAGTTGACGATAATCAATGCACATTCGAAGAGACCCATCTTTCTTTCTAACAAATAACACGGGAGAACCCCTTAAAGAGATACTCGGTCGGATAAAACTCTTATCCAACAAATCCTTTATTTTCTCTTCTATAAGGAGGGATAGAGATAGGTTGCTTATTCGGAAGAAGGTCAATACCAAAATTTGTTTCCCACTTGGAAGGAATACCGAGCAAATAATCAGGGAAAACTTCCAGGAACTCATTAACTAACGAAACCGACTCTGGAGAAGGGGTTTAGAAATCCACATACGTCACCATAACAATATGGAAAATACACCCTTTTGAGACGATCTTCCTAGCTTTAAGACAAGAGACAAATTGGCCTCTAGGCATAGAATTTCCCCCCTTTCCACTCTCAAATAGGCTCATTTGGGAATTGGAATCTAACCACCTGAGTTCTACAATCAATAGAGGTGTAACATGCATGCAACCAATCCATACCAAGAATCACATCAAAGTCTAACACGCCAAGCTCTACCAAGAGTAAATCTATGGCATAAGGAAATGGGACACTTTCTATATACCCTATTAGCCACAGAATCACCAACTGGGGTAGAGACCATAAAAGGTTGTAATAACACTTCGGGGAGCATATCAAATTGCATGGCCACAAAAGGTGTCACAAAGGACAAAGTAGCACCGGGATCTAACAAGACATACACATCAATAAGAAAGACTTTTAACATACCGGTCACTACATTCGGGGAGCTCTCTTGGTCACCTCGGGATTGAAGAGCATAGAAGCGATTTTGCTTTGGGGCATTGGAGTTTGAACCGCTTGGAGGAGCTTGCTTGTTTTCCCTTCCCTTTGTCACAAGAATGGGGCAATCTCTCATATTATGGCCAATCTTCCCGCAGCTAAAACATCCATCGGTGTCGGCTAGGCACTTACCATCATGTTTCTTCCCACACTTGGCACATGTAGATCTAGAAAAAGAAGAAACACCTCCATTTCCTCCTTGAGATTTAGGGTTAGGCACACTTTCCTTATTAGACTAGAGAGGAGCACTATATGAATCTTGATTAGGAAACCTTTGTCGAAATATAGCTCGACCTTGTCCATCGGACCTTGAGTTGGAGAAATTCCCATCAGCGGTTCTAGCCCTTTTTACCTCCCTATTCTTCTTTCTAAGTTTCTATTCCTCAATTTTTAGAGCGTACACCATAAGTCTTGAGATATCCATGTCATGGAGGAGCATTGCCGTATGAAACTCTTTTTCAACAAGTCGGGCACACCCGACATAAACCTACTCATCTTATCCCTTGAGTCTGCCACCATAGTTAGAGTATATTTGGAGAGTTGGGTGAAATTTAGAGCATACTCCTTAACACGCATACTTCATTGACGAAAGTTGATGAACTCTTGTACCTTTGCCTCCCTCAACTTGAGGGGAAAGAACCTATCAAGAAATGCTAATTTAAATAACTCCCATTCTACCGGGCCCGCTCCTACGGGTCTCTATCCCTTCCACTGATCATACCACACTTGAGCCACATCTTTTAGTTGGTAGGCGGTTAAATCCGCCTTCTCTTCCGAAGACACCCCCATAATAGCAAGTACTTTACAAACCTCGTCTATAAACCTTTGAGAAACATCTTCCACTTTTGAGCCATGAAATTCCAGAGGGTTCATTCGTGCAAAATCCCTCACCCTTGAACCAACTAAATTCACATTAGGATTCATCGGAGCTACAACTTCTCTATTGGCTTGAGCCATCACGACTTGAGCTAACATTTGGATAGTCGACCTAAACTCCGCATGTGTCACATTCTCAACCAAAGTATCATCAGAGCATGGGGAGCTTGAGAGGAGTTCTTTGATTCTCATTTTCATCCTCCATCCTTCTAGCATTAGCCCTTCATGTATTCATAACTTGAAGACACAAGAGAAGGATTAGGAGAGAGAAATCTTTTTAGAGTTAAACTCTAAGGCACGACTTAAGAGTAATGAAGAAGTGAAATTTCCTAAACATCTTGTAGCCTCTCATTTATAAGTGTGGCGCGCTTCACACTCATGAACAACACTCTACTAAATGTGGCTTATGAGACATCATCCTAGAATCATTCTAAATCTTGTGCTCTGATTACCAAGTTTGTCACAACCCAAGGGTACCCCCTAGATGTAACAAGGCACATGAACCCCGAAAGGCTCCATGTAAGACACCTAGCATATCATAAAATAAATTACTAGAATAATAAAGAGTAAAATGAATTTCTAGTCTTAAAAGTTTTTTCATAAAAGAAAGCAGAAGTCTAGACTTGTCTCAATATAGCCATCTGTTACAATACTTGAATGAAATAGAGCCTAACCCATAAAACATGTCCGAAAAGTGAAAGTACATGAAAGGAACTTCAACATAGGAAAAGTAATCCTCTCACCCTGAGGACTCACCAACAAGCTCGGAAGATACACAAGTCCAAGCTTCAGCCACTAGAATGATCACCTCGAGAATCGAACCCTATACTTGGGAAAATGTAGGAAAAGTAGAGGTTAGCACAAAAATGCACTAAGTATGGTAACCATGCATAAAAACATTAAAAATATGCAAAAAGGGACATTTCATTTGAAAGCATGCAATTTGCCATGTTTGAATATCATCTAAGACATTAGAAGTCATAAGTCATAAACTGATAATCATGGACAACATAAGTCAATATCACATTTAAAACCTTTGAATTCATATACAAAGCTTCTTGAGTAACCATAGTTCATTAGTCAAGTTCTTATTGTGGGAAGAATATCCTTAACTGACATAGAGACCATGTGATCTAAAGCATGATCACCTAGTGTCTCCCACACTGAAAAACGGTTGTTCTACTTGCCTAAGGTAGAACTATGAACTCTTAGCTTAGGTGGATCCACTAGCTATATAACCTATGGGGGCACATAGTTTATGGGATATGGAGATTGCTACTAGAACTCTTACATATGGTTTATCAGATCATGCATAAATTCACACTTTGCCCTTCCAAGGTTCAAAGTCATCATCAATCACCAAATCTAGAATTTAAGCATTAGATAGGGATTGCATCATAGTTTCATGTAATTCTATCAATTCATACATTAGATCATAAAAACTCCTCTTTCACAATCAACAACCCAACCTATGAGATCACAATTTGGAGAAATATGGGGGTTTGCATGGGTTCATAAAGGAATCATCATAAAAACATTGTAGATCATCAATTCATGAATATTTAGACATAATTAAACCATTAAAATCATTAGATCAAAGAACCCATGTGAATGAAGAAAACCCTAGCTAATTGGGGGAATTCTACCATTTGAAATTTGAGGATTTTGAGAGGGCTCCATGAATGAAAGCTACCCATGGATGAAAACAATCTTACCTCAATCACAAAGCCCTGTGAATTTTATGTGAAGATCCTTGCTTCTTGAACCCTAGCTCTCACTTTCTTCTTCTTCTTCTTTGAGTTTTCTAGAGAGAGAATTTTGTGGAGAGGATGAAGTTTTGGGAATTGATTTGAGTTTTAGGAATAATGAGTTGAATGTCTTCATTTAGGGGTTTTAAATCCTTATATATGTGGTCTAAATTAGTCTAAAACGACATCACTTAATATTAATTAAACTAGAAACCCCAAAGTTCCCTTAAACTTAACCACCAAACCAGCTCCCAGGTCACCATCCACGAGACCTCACTGACAGACGTGGTTGGACCCACGGCCCATGCGTGAACCATGGTTTGGGTTCTCAGAGTCTGATTTCAGGGCTTGGACCTACGGCTCCACCCACGGGGTGTGGTTCACTGCTTTTGGGCAGTTTTAAGGGGTCCCCCTCAAAAACCCATGGTTGGTCCTTGGGGGGTAATACCTTGATGTTCTAACACGAAAACCTCTATTTTAAGTACGGGGAGTTACATTCACGACTCTAATCCTCAAGTTAAGCTCTAGTTTAGCCTAATAATTTTCGGAGTGTTACAACTAAGATCTCATGACAAGTAGGCAATCTTTACCTCACAAATTACTTATTTACAAATTACTATCACATTCCTTTTTCAAAACTTAATTACTAATTACCCACTTACTATACAACCTTACTTAATTAGTTCTATAATCCTCTAAATACTAGAGGGCTCTTCTTTCAAAAAATCATAAGCATCGCTTAGATCTATCACCTCATGAATACTCTGCTCTTCTGTTCAACACATATACTTGGTCTTCACTGACACAATGGCACCTTAACATAAACTTCTTTCCAATTAAAGTTTACTCTAACTCATTCTAACTAGTAACTATTCCTCTGCCTCCTATAATAAAATCAACAAAAAATCATTACTTTTTAGCCCATCCCCAACAGAAAACTCCATGTTAATGACTAACTAGGTACATGGGTAAAACTTACATACTCTACTTAATAACTATATACATTTCTAAGTTACCACACTTCTAAATGCATACTTCTACCTTTGGGAACTTTTACTACTACTTCTTATAACATCGTGACTTATATTATCTTTTCGGGTGTAATTACTACCAAGCTCTAAAACACACTTCATCATAAGGGTCTCCACTGAAACACAGTTTAGAGAAGAGAGTATGTGAGTACATCTCGCTTATATCTCAAACGTACAATTCATAGGAGTAAGTTTGAATTCTTTTGAATCTCAACACTTAAGCTCACTCATGGGCTCCTCTCAATCCCAATTGCAGTCTCATGACTTTTTGATGACTTTTGCTAAGAGTTCCTCATCGATAAGGATCTAACTTTGCTTTTCAACTACCTTTAGTATGAGAGGTAGTCGAATGGATATGAGAACACACGAGTTAGAATAAGTTCCATACGACGTAGTTCTATTGCACGATTTAGAGTATGAAAGAATGGATTTTTTTCCTTAAATGTCTGTAGACCCTCATTTATAGAAGTGGGGCCCTCACAACCATAAATAAGATCCTATAGATATGGCTTCATAGACACTCAAGGACACTTGAACTTTGTGCTCTGATACAAAGTTTTTCACGACCCGAGCCTACACCCTGGACATGGCCGGCACTCGAGAACCATTGTTGGTCCCTAAGAGAACCCTCATCCAGACTAACTATAAGCAAAAACTAACTCAAGCAATAATAGGCTTAAAACTAAATTATATTTGTTAAACTAAAATACTCAACTCATTTTGTCTGAACAATACTCAATAGAAATACTTATAGTTTGTAAAACATTTCAAAGAATGTAAATACTGAAAAACTCCTGAACTCTATCTATCTATGCAGCCTCTACTATTAAATAAGGATGTAAAGACAAGATCCATGACACCTCAAAACTACTAACTGAAAAGTAAATGTGATGTCCTCCGGAATACAAGGAGGCTCACCAAAGCTAACTGTAGAGTAATCTCAACGAACCGTCTGTTGATAATCCTGAACACCTGTATGTACGAGTATGTAAAGGAAACTGTAACATAGCTAACTGAACTAATAACATGGGAAGACAATACTTACCTCACCTCCAATACGAAAGCAATAAGAAAAGATAAAATGTTTAAAGCTTCATAATAAATAGATACTAACGCTAGGATGTATATAAATATACAATAAAACTCAAAACAATAGATATCAACTAAAAATTGATAGAAATACAATTACATACTCTTTACTCTTATTTGGGAGATTCTCTAACTGACAACCATCACAATGAGTTACGTGATGTTACAACGACTCGTCCGCGCTGCCAGAACTGTCTTATACCTTGTCAGGGTATAGAACACCTCAACTAAGTGGATCCACTAAGTTCTGCCCTAAGGCACTTAGGATTCATCTAAAAAGTATGATCTTGTACCCAAGTTGGCATACATGGTTTATGAGGAATGTGAGTTGTCTAAACTCATCCCTCATATCAGTGCTCAATATTACTCCCAATAATATATATACCCGTGCTCAAATGTATAAAACATACTCTTCTTCTGGTTTGGGATAGTTCCTCAAATTATCATCTTAAAAGAGGTAAATGCTCTGAAATATCTTTGAACCCATAAACTGTTTTTAGAAATCAAAGTTTCTCTTTTCTCAAAATAATATTCTCTTTCTTCATGAAAAAAATGAAACATTTGGAAAATACATAGTTCTCTTATACTCTTTCTCAAACTTCTCTTTACTTCCTCAGAAAATCAGTTTAAGGCAAAAATGTTTGCTTTTAAAGATTCTCAAAAATTATAACTCAAAATAGAGTTCATGTTGAAGCTAAAACTCAAGAACTACTCAAGAATCTTTACATAAATTATTTCATAAATGAATTAGTGGAAGAATTACATGTTTGGCGTGAGGACGAACAAGTCCATTACTATGGGAAACCTCACATACCTTGAAAGAACTATTGTTCTTGGCAAAATTTGAATGAACGCTTGAAAACCCTCTTTTCCTCTTCTTAAAACTTCGCCCTAAAATTCTAATTGTTTGGAACGTGAATGGGTGATTTAGAATCTGATCAAACCCTTTATTGGGTCAGGAAAAACATGCTAAGACAAGTGGGAAAAAGGAAAAGACCAAAATATCCTTTTCTAAAACGGATGAAAGGCCTTAACTAGAGGGGGCTTCACTCAAACGAGCATAGCTTCTTACTCCAAGCTCAAAATTTTACAAACTAGACGGCGTTGGAAAGAGGACTCAAAGACATTCTATTTGATTGGTGATGGGACACCTAATTCTCTATGTGCTAAATGATATGGTCGTTTGAAGTTGACCCAATAACATCTCATAATG